GTTGCGCTCCGGCCAGTCGTCACCGTTGGGAATCCCCCAGTCGCGAGCGCGCGGGATTCGAGAGCCTCCTTCTCGTCCAAGATGCTCTCCATGTCGCATCGGTTGGGCTGGGGCGGGAACGGGTCGCCGGGCAGCAGTAATTTCATAACAGGAACTCCGTCGGCCTCCGTCAAGGGCAACCGCAAATACCATGGTCGCGAGCTCCCAGGAGGGGAGGGCGTCAGAGGGGTTGGAGGTGCCAGCGGTGCAGGAGGAGCCGGGGGAGCGGGAGGAGCAGGAGGAGCAGGAGGAGCGGGAGGAGCGGGCGGCGCGGGAGGAGCAGGGGGTGCAGCACGGAAACCACTAAATCTACTAACTCGGGCAGCAGCTATGTCCTGTCGAGAGAGGCGTGTTGGTGTACGAGGGCTGCCGAACAGTACAGACATGGCTGTGGGTGGGAAGGCCAGCCATGGCGGCGGTCTGGCAAGAGAGGACGCATGAAGATGCTTGGTCGAGAAGCTACGGAAATAATGAAGCTTCAACCAGGGTGTTCCCCGATTCCTCAGCGGGTGCACGAAGAGGATTCCTCTTCGTTTACGAGCTGAGAGGGCACCGTCGTGGCAGCACGAAGCTGCAAGCATATTCTTCTGGAGCTTCCAGCTCGCCTTGCTGGATGCTGCCCTCTGGGCATGTGGCTGCGATTGGACTGCCAGACAGCATATTCGCACAAAAACCCCAACGCAGCTTCACCAACACTTGAGCTGTGACAGCGTCTGCGCCGCAGTGCTCGTGGTTGGTCCGTTTGGCAGCATCCACACACGCCTGGCTGGTTCGATGTTTCCGGACCAATTTCATGCGAATCTCTGTTGTATTCGCTGCTGCAAAAGCCTGAATTGGGTTGGCGGCTGTTAGAAGTACATTTTGATGCCGTTTTTTGTTTTCTTAAAAAAACCAATTTAAACGCACTGGGCCATATCGCAAAAATTCGAATAAACGCACCCCCCAACATTATACTATATTCCCTAAACGCACCCCTGCGCGTATATCCAGGGGAATACGGCATTTAGAAATGCGCATTTTGACACTCCGTACCGCACCAGGGCTTATTTTATCAAAGTAATTCACTCTGTGTCTCTGAAAATCAGAGTGTTTTTGAAAGTCGCTTTGATGGTCCTGGATAAAATTTTTGAAAGTAGATTTTCCTCTAATTTATCAGAGTTGGTCCATGTACCACCATGTGGGATTTCCTACAGGGGGCATACCCCCAGATTATCCATGTACTCCCTTTAGACACTTGTACGCGTGGCCGTGATTCCTGGGCGCTTTCACGCGCACCGCTCACCAACCACATGTCATTTGCAGCCAAGATTCCTCATGCTGGAAGATGCCTCTCTACCCATTGGACACTTGGGCATCTTCTTTCGTGGCATCAGCAGGAATCAAGCGAGCAGCAGCTGAAATTGCCACTGCAAGAAGACTGCCGTCTGCCCATTGGGCACTAAGGAAAAATTGCATGGTAGTAGCAGGCAGCACATCACCTCGGCAGCGCACCCAAATGCGGCTAGCATTGCTGATCTTGTGGCATGCACCTCACCTCTTGGGCCACACCTGAGGAGACAGTAAAGCCAGTTGTTTCCCTTCGGGTTTGATCCATCATTGCAAGAAACCATCGTCCCCTCCGACTCTCCCTTGCCCCAAGGAGTTCATAACCGCTAGAGCATAACGATTTTCCGAGTCTTGAGTCAGAACGAATTGCCTAGTCTCAGTTGTTCCCCGCCAGAGTCCGTCATGGGAGACTCGGACGATGAGGATGATGGGAGGGGGGGTGGGGGGGATCCTAGTGCTAAGCATTGTTTAGAGGCGCACCCCTCAGTGGCCTTGATTTCCTTCGTCGAACCCATGCCACTTCTGTGTATTCGAAACCCCTCCCATCTCTTAGCAGCGAAGAGTGGGAGCGAGATCTCGACGAGGTAACCGAGACGGTTGCCTCGCCCGCCAAGCCCCCGCCCACCACTCCTCTCGCCACAGAAACTCCATCTGCTTCTACTCCCGCGTCGAAAATCCCTACCCCTCCTCCTGCCACGAGAGCCCCATCTGCTGCTAATCCCTCGTCGAAGGCCCCTGCCCCTCCCGCCGCGACAACCCCCGCCTCTACTCCATCGACGTGAAAGAAAAGGCGTCGATAGCAGCAATCGCATTTGCCATTCGCACCGCCTCCGCCTAAACCACCAACGCCGCCACCGCCAGAGCCGGTCTCCGTGTCGTCTGTTAAACCTACGATCGCAGAGAAACGTGTGAGGGCATATGAAAAGGCGCAACTCAAATACACCAACAATTGGTTGCCAAAATTTCCCTGGCTGGTCCTTGATGAAACGGACGATGGAATCCCGTACTTGCGTTGCAGTATTTGCATGGATCACGGTCCCCTACACGTAAGATATGGGCGCGAGGGTAGTGGTGGTCGAGATCATCAAGTGGGGTCGATGCGTTGGCATCTGGAGAGCCAAAAGCATGAGGACGCAGTGAAGAAACAAGAGATGCTGCTGAAGGAGGTGGAACATCATAAGAAAATGGAGGACTTCGCTGCGAATGACCCCGAGGGTGCGCGGATCGTTTGTCTACTCCAAGCGATGATGTTCATCTGCAAGGAGGACGCAACCTTCAGCATGTTTACACGGCTTGTCGGCTTCCTAGCGCAGGAGGGAGTGAAGGACATTCCGAAGGAAACCTACGGCGTCTACATAACACTGTGAGTTCGTATTCAACTCACCACTGCAGTCCTTGTTTACCCTAGATCTCCCACACCTCTTAATTTCCACACTGTGTGCCGTCTTTCTTTTTAACGTCTGTTGTCCCTTGACCTCAATCTAATAAACTAACCTACTCGTGTTCTGTACGCTTCTCAGGTACGGCTTCAAGGAGATGTTCAATGCCATGGTGGCCTTCTTGAAGGCGCAGCAGATGACACACATCCACACCTCGCCCTTCATCAGCATCAGCTGCGATGAAAGCACCGACAGAACGCGAGGGAAACACCTTATACTGTTCGCGACGTTCCTGAAGAAGCGCAAGGTGGTCACGGAGTTCCTCGAACTGCTCACCATCGACAAATGCGATGCGGCCTCGCTGCAGTCCATCATCCTGTCACACTTGGATTCGCTCGGCATCGACCTGCAGAAGATTTATGGAATCATCACCGATGGGGCATCCGTTATGACTGGCGAATACAAGGACTGGCCGCGCGCCTGCGGGTGAAGAGTCCTCACCTTGTCGGCATCCACTACATCGTGCACAGGTAAAATCATACGTGGTTACATACCCTATTGCACATGAACACGTGGCACGCTTGCGCATGAACTTGTTCTCACATTTCCTTCCCATTTTTTGCAGGGAATCTCTTGCAGTCAAGGACGCCGCCACCACCTTCCCAGATTTCAAGATCATCGACACGGTAATCCGTGCATTGGGGATATCGTCGGCCGGTCCACCCCCTGGTATGAGAGGTTCAAGCACCTGCAGCACCAACCTTGAGCACCAGGGTTGTACCTCATCCGGTGGCTCTCGCGGGGGGATGCCATCAAGCAGCTCTGTAGCATCCTTGGCGCGGCGATCGTCATCCTCATCAAGTACAAGCACAAGCTGGCAGCTGTGGTGAAGACCCTGAAGTTCCACTACTGCCTCTACTTCCTCGCTGATGTCCTCGCCGAGATGAACACCTTGAACAGGTTCTTTCAGAAGCGATCGGTAAGTCAGGTTCTTTCAAAAGCGATCGGTAAGCTCTCTGAGTTTAATTTATTGTACTTGCTTTGTCCATTCTGCTTGTCATTATACCCTGGATAATGTTCTCTGCATCATTCACACTTGTTAGCTACTGCTGTTTATTGACATGCATTCCTCTGCTCTTTATGCTCACCATCCTATAGGTGGAGATCATTCTCGTGTCTCAGGAGGTGGACCGCACCCTCACATACATCAGGCACTGCTACATCAGGTACGGCACCACCTTCGGTGGCGGCATGGGCAAGAAGCTGTCGAAGTCCTTGAGCGCCTCGGCAAAGGCGAAAAAAGCATCGTCGTTGCCGGCGTGGACAGCGATGGCCGGCTGTGCAGTCATTCATTCGAACTCAGCGAAGAGCGTCTCCCTAGCCACAAGTTCGGGGGAAGCCAGGCGAACTGCGAGGAGTTGAGCAGTGCGATGGCGAAGGAGTTGGTCACCAACGTGGAGCAGCGGCTGTGGGACCTAAAGCGCCTTGTCGGCGCGGGACTCTTCAGGGTGGAGTACTGGCCGAAGAAGGCGGAGGCGCATGAGCGGCGGCATCTGGCGTGGCTGGAATCGAACGTGGCCCTTTTCGACAACAAGCTTCCAAGTATGATTGCATTCACCATCATGCTAGCTGGTCCCTTGTTCGATTTTCAGCCGTGCTTGGTAAGTCATACTAAGCTTCCCCTTAACTCCCCCCGCCCTCCCCCCATCATCGCAGGAGTGAACCAGCGGGCGGCAGAGCTGGAACTCAAGACGTTCTGTCACATCATAAAGAACCACTGCGCGGATGACGATTTCAACCAGGGGCTGACCACCATGCTCAAGACCCGGCCCAAGAGCTACTCGAACCTCATGAGGCTATGGCAGGCCATGGCAGTGCTGCCACTGAGCACTGTTGAGTGCGAGAGGGGTTTCAGTAGACAGAATGCCATCAAATCTTGGCTAAGCACTACCTTGTGTGACACAAGGCTGGGCGATCTCATGACAATCAACATGCTCGACTATGACGTCGACTACCCTGAAGTCGTGGACATCTGGAGGAAGCAGAAGGCGCGGAAGCAAGCCAAGTCTGTTGTGTACGAGGTCCCCCATAACCCTGCTAAGAGTGTAGATGATGATTCAAATGATGGTGAGAGTGCCTCTATAGAGGGCTCTGAGGATGATGAGGATGAGTGATGTTGCCGTGGTGGTGGAGGTATTGTGTAACAGTGCAATAATAGTGACAGTGGGCGCGAATTTTGCTTGTTGTATGCATCTAGTGGTTAGAAAATGAGATGGCAGAAGAGATTACATGAATCAGAGTAAATCAGTGAAATTTAGGAAAAACCCAGGAAAATCAGAGTTACAGCTCCAAGGCACTCTGAAAATCAGAGTTACGCGAAGGATCACTCGTGAAAATCAGATGGGCGGAAAAGCAAAGATAGGCCCTGCACCGCACTGTATTGTGTACTTCCCGGAATACGCCTGGGCTGTTACACCGGGCTTCCAACAGTCATCCAAGATGCCTTGACAACCACGGCAATTCTTGGTCAGTGCTCAACGCATGAACCACGTCCTCCCTGTGTGCATCCTCCAAGCACCACCACGCATTCAAAATGTACGTGCATGCACGAATGAAGGGAAGCAAACGTTGGAAACCAGTCGACTGTGCAATTCTAGGGGTAAAACAGGGAAATGGCAGTCCAGCCCAGCGCCCTCTGCAAGAAGCCGACGAGACTCAGCCAGGCGTGCACTTAAAGGGAGAAACAGGGATTGGCAGAAGTGTAGTGCACTCGGGGGAATACCTGGGCAGGTTGAGCTGAATGCGCTGGTGGCAGTGTAGCACAGTGGCCTCTGCTAGCAGCAGATGAGACTCGGCCAGGCGTGCACTGGAGACGAGGGAGGGGGAAAGAGGGATGGAAGTGGAAGGGGGGGGGGAGGGGGGTAAGGGCGAGTGAGGAGAGCCAAGGAGGAGAGGGTGAAGGCGTGGTAAGGCAGCAGTGCAGGCCTGTGTCCTCTGCCAGAAGCAGACGAGACTCAGCCAGGTATGCACTGGAGAGGAGGGAGGGAGGGAGTGGGATGGAAGGGGAGAGATGAGGGGGAGGGAGGGCAACGGAGAGCAAAGGAGGAGAGGGTCAAGGGAAGGCGGCAGTGCAGGTCTGTGCCCCCTGCGAGGAGGAGGCGAGACTGGGCCAGGCGTGCACTGGAGACGAGGGAGTGGGATGGAAGGGAAGAGAGGGGGGGAGGAAGAGCAAGGGAAAGAGATTCAAGGGAAGGTGGCCGTGCAGGGCTGTTCCCCCTGCAAGGAGGAGGCACGGGCACGCGTTGGGGAGGAGGAAGGGAGGGAATGGAGGGGCAGGGATGAGGAGAGGGTGAAGGGATGGCGGCAGTGCACCGCAATGCACCGCAGTGCACTGGAGAGGAAGAAGGGAGGGGGATGGAAGGGGAGAGGCACACCCCATGCTCTGAATCCGTCAACCAGAGTCGCGTGCTTTTTCATCAATGCTCCCAGTCAACAGAAATTGAGCCAGTTTTGCTGTCCCAGGCCTGTACGCTTTATAGTGTATACAATGTTGGACGTCCTTACAAGCGGGCTTTAAGTAGCACTACCACACCACCAGATTTGCTCGCCTTTCCTATCATGATGCTAATTCGAATCTGTTACACATGACAGGTCATCCTCTGGCATCCGCATAGAACCTTATCGTGCCACATCAACACCTTATCGTGCCACATCAGCATAACACCTCATCATGCCACATCAGCGTACCACCTCAATGCACCAAACACGTGCCTCCAACTCACCACGCTGCCAGCAGGGCATCGTGAGACACATTCAGCCGCACTAGGAGCTCCCGGGAAGCTTCCTCCTCCTTTCCAGCAGACTGCTGCACCGGGCACTTCTGCCCCCTGCCACGGGCATCCTCTGATTGGTCGGGAGGAGCTGCTGACGTGGCAACAACCAATGAGGAGAGTGCCGAGGATGGGAGTGTGGCAGGGATGGTAGAGTTGTGGTGCTGCAGCCAGCCGAGGCACAGGTGCTGCACCTGGTGAGCGGGTGGGAGAGTAGAGCATGCAGAGCGAGGGAGACTGTGTGAGAGAGGATTAACTTAACAGGCATGAGCACAGGGACGTGTGGTGCTGCTGCAGCCAGCCGAGGCACAGGTGCTGCACCTGGTGAGCGGGTGGGAGAGTAGAGCATGCAGAGCGAGGGAGACAGTGTGAGAGAGGGTTAACTTAACAGGCATGAGCACAGGGACGTGTGGTGCTGCTGCAGCCAGCCGTGGCAGAGACACTGCACCTAGAGGGGGAGATGCAATGCAAGCACAGGGAAGCGAAGGGAACAGAGGGGTTTGACTCTTGAGTCGACTCAAAAGTCGCAGCGAAGTAACAGAGGGGTTTGAGGATCTAGTGTAGGTGAGGAATCCACCGCTTAGCGGCCAATGTACTGCTGCAGCCAGCCGTGGCACAGGTGCTGCAGCTGGAGGGGGGGAGGCAAGCACAGGGAAGTGTGAAGAAGTCGAGATGGGCTTGGGTTCTGTGTAACTTGGAGGCTGAGTGGTGCTGCAGCCAGCCGTGGCACAGGTGCTGCGGCTGGGGGGGGGGAGGCAACCTCGGGGAAGTGTGAAGAAGTCGAGATGGACTTGAAAGGGGATGTGAGACCTTACCTTTCCAAAGGTGGTTTCTGCAGCACCGGAGCGGTGGAGGTCAAAGGAGAGCGCTGCGAGGAAGATCTTTTCAACTGCAGACAGGCGGCGAATGATCTGGGGGCAAGGGGGGGTGGGGAAGAGGGTGGGGTGGGTTGAGGACGATAAGTGTCAAAGGGGAGAGGTGTCACGAGGACATGAGGGCACGAGGTGTCAGCCAGGTAAACAGAGAGGGAGGGGAGGGCAGGGAGGAAAGTCTTCTGTACAACTGAGAGGGCAAGAAGGGAGTTAATTTCCACGACTGATCTTTGAGGCGCCTCAAAAATCATGTTCGTTCTTACGACTGACAGGCAACGGCTGATCTGCAAGGTGGGCAAAAGGAGGAACCAGTAGAGTAGGTTTATGAGGAAAAGGACTTCTGAGTCGACTCAAACGTCTGAAGGAGGAACGAGCAGAGTTGGTTTATGAGAGTTCTTGAAAACCAACTCAACGGCTGATCCGCAGATCGGGCATAAGGAGGAACGAGCAGTCGCTTCGATCTGCAGATATGAAAGCACGAAATGTCCAGGCTACGCAGGTGATAACGCACTGATACTCACGACTGACTTTTGATTCGACAGACTTTTGAGTCGACTGACTTTTGATTCGACAGACTTTTGAGTCGACTGACTTTTGAGTCGACTGACTTTTGATTCGACTGACTTTTGAGTCGACTGACTTATGAGTCGACTGACTTTTGAGTCGACTGACTTTTGGGCGACTGACTTTTGAGTCGACTGACTTTTGAGTCGACTGCCTTTTGAGTTGACTGACTTTTGAGTTGACTGACATTTGAGTCGACTGACTTTTGAGTTGACTGACATTTGAGTCGACTGACTTTTGGGCGACTGCCTTTTGAGTCGACTGACTTTTGAGTCGACTGACTTTTGAGTCGACTGACTTTTGAGTCGACTGACTTTTGAGTCGACTGACTTTTGAGTCGACTGACTTTTGAGTCGACTCAAATGTCCACGCTACGGAGGTGATAACGCACTGATACACACGACACAATACGGAGGGAACGGTGGTGGTTGGGGGGGGTTATTGCATGGACGCACACGCACACACACCGACACGCACTGACACGCACCGACCGCACTGACACGCACTGACACGCACTGACACGCACCGACACGCACTGACACGCACTTACACGCACTGACACGCATGCTACTCACCATAATATGTGGCGAGGAGAAGATCTCCCTAATAGATGCTTCCACATGCTCTATCTGCACCACCAGCGGGGCGGTATGCTGTGCTGCCATGTTTCCATCCACAGCCATGCATTATGTTGTGGATGCAGCATGTGTAATGCATTGCATGCAGAGAGACACACTACACACACGCACCATAATATGTGGCGAGGAGAAGATCTCCCTAATGGCTGCTTCCACATGCTCTATCTGCACCACCAGCAGGGCACACCTCTCCTTTGCCCCATCTCCATCTATCGCCCCGTTGCTCGCCTCCCTCCCATGCTGCGACTGCAACATCAGCGGCTGCTGCCTTCCCTTGCTGCCCGTGCTGCCGTCTCCCTCCACCTTCCCATCCCACGCCGCTTTTTCATCAGCCTCTCCCAATGCCTGTCCACCTTCCACCTTTTTACACATCTCTTCTCCTGCACCCTGACCATCCCCTCTCACCCCTCTTCTAGGTCTTAACTCTCGTGTGGGAGTGGCTGCATGAGCGCCGTTCACACCACCACCACCAGCATTCTGAGTCGGCTTGAAACACGCCTCTTCTCCTGCACCATGCTCACCGCCTCCCACCCCTCGCCTCGATCTTAACTGCTGTGTGGGAGTGGTAGCATGAGCACCGTTCATACCAGAACCATCATCACTGTGTTGAGCTGGCAGTGTGGGAGTGGCTGCATGAGCACCGTTCACACCACCACCAGTGTTCTCTCCTGCACCCTGCTCACCACCTCTCACCCCTCTCCTAGGTCTCAACTGCCGTGTGGGAGTGGTAGCATGAGCACCGTTCATGCCACCACTACCACGACTAGCACCACTAGCACCACTAGCACCAGCACCACCACTAGCACTGGCATTCTCCATTAGCCCCTCGCCACCTCCTTTCCTTCTTCCTCCCCTCTCCTTGCCGCCCTTCCCCTCCCCACCCGCCTCCTGACTCCTCCCTGCCTCACTCCCCTCTGCTTCTCCCACCTCCATCTCGTCCCTCCTCCCTGCGACCTTCCCTTCTTCCCCACCCCCCTTGTCCTCTCCTCCTCCTCCCCTTCTCCCCGCCTCTTCACAACCTTCTGCTTCACCCTCCCCCTTCTTGGTTTGATGCCCCTGACTAGCCACAGCTGCTTGCGTGGCAGAAGCCCCCGCTTCATCTGCCGCCTCAGTCGCCTCAGCCGCATCAGCTGCCTGTGCCGCCCTGGAGTCTGCCTCTGCTATCTCAACCGCCCTCCTGCAAATCTCAAGTGCCCTCCTCACGTCCCCAGACACCGATGCCACCTGCAGGCAGGAAGAGGAGGGAGGGGAGCAGGAGACAACACAGACAGCTCGACCAGCCGTGGCTGCTTGAGTGGTCCCTGCTGCCTGTGCCGCCCTGGCGTCCGCCTCAGCTATCTCCACCGCCCTTCTAAAGATCTCAAGTGCCCTTCACGCGTCCCCTGACACCAATGCCACCTGCAGGCAGTGGGGAGGGAGAAGCAAATTGAGAGAGTAAGTTAGAATATAGGGCTCATCATATCGAATACAGTGAACAGTGACAAGAGTCTCTTGTGTTTGAGCGGGCCAGTACCTAGCTGCTTTGTTCTTTCCTTGGCCTCACCTTCCTCGCAGCTAGCTCAATCGCTCTAGGCGCGAACAGCTGACAGGCTTGGAGGCGGGCGGCGACAATTGTCTCGATCTGGTCGCGGGTGTAGGGAGAGAAAGGCACGCGGTGCAGGCCCATCCTGCTGGCGATGCGTGGTAAGAGTCGCTCCGGTAAGTCAACGGTGTTAGCTATGCCTGTTGGTGGGGAGGAGTTGAGGAAGGGGGCAGGGAAGAGGGGAAGGATGGTAGATGAAGGGAGTGAAGGGCACGCGGTGCAGCCCAATCCTGCTGGCGATGCGGGCAGATCCACTGTGTTGGCGATGCCTGTTAGGGGGAGGGAGGCGGGGACGCGGCGGGGAGTGAAGGGAGATGCAAACAACAAGAGCCGGCGAAGGGCATGCGGTGCAGCCCCATCCTGCTGGCCATGCGGGGGACCGGACGTTCAGGCAGGTCTTGTGTATTCGCTATGCCTGTTAAGGGGGGGGGACGAGGGGAAATGGGCGGGAGAGAGAGGGGCAGGATGGGAGATGCAAACAGCAAGTTCCCGGTGCAGGGTGCTTTTGAGGCGCCTCAAAAGCAAACAAAGGGCACGCATTGCAGCCCCATCCTGCTGGCTATGCACGGTAGGAGGCGCTAAGGAAGATCCGCTGAGTTGGCAATGCCTGCAAAGGGAGTGAGTGGGAGGGACGGCTTGGGGGAGGAGGAGCGAGGGTTGATGGGAGATGTAGGGAGCAAAGAGCACACGGCGCCACCCAAACCTGCTGGCGATGTGGGGGTGCAGTCATACAGGCAGGTACATAGTGTTGTTGAGAATTCTAAAAAAACCTATCACTCTTCAGTGTTGGCGATTCCTCTTGGGAAGGAGGAGTTGAGGAATCAATCAGTAACGAGGGGCACCATGGCAAATGAAGGGTGCAAAGGGCACGCGGTGCAGCCCCATCCTGCTGGGGAGAAGGCGCTTTCCACAAAGGTCACAACAATAACAGTAGCGCTTTCCAGCAACAACAGCACATACCAAAAGCAGAAACAATTACCTTTTTTAGCAACAGTTACCGTGATTTGAATCAACGACAAACAGAAGGCAGAACCTACCAATCACGGCAAGGCGTGAGGAGCTCCAGGTGGTCCATTCAAAGATGTTGTAGAGCACCTGCGAGTTGGAGGGAGCATGGAGAAAAGGTGTTTTAAAAGTGTTACAGGTGTTACAGGTGTTACAGGTGTAACAGGTGTTATGGGTGTTACAGGTGTTACGGGTGTTACAGGTGTTACAGGTGTTACAGGTGTTACGGGTCTTTGAGCTCCAGGTTGTGCATTCAAAGATGTTGTAGAGCACCTGTGGATGGTGGGCGGAAGGAGCAGTTACGTGTTACAGGTAGCCCCAGGTGTTTTCAGGTGCTTGTTAGCTCGGCGTTACTAAGAGTTCCATGTCGTACATTCGACGATGCTGTAGAGTACCAGCCCTGCCCTGCCCTGCCCTGCCCTGCCCTTCCGCACCCCCAGAAAACAATTGTTACCCCATCCTCTCTCACCTTCTGGTCCTTGCTGATCAGCTGATCCATCTCATGGTCCAGCAAAACGCTCAGTCACGCGTAGTGACAACTCACAACCCCTTAGTACCCTTGGTAGCCCATCACAACCCCTGCACAGCCCTTCACCTTCTCTCACCTTCTGGTCCTTGCTGATCAGCTGATCCATCGCATCCACCAGCAGCACGCACATGCAGAGACAGTGACACAACACACATGTTAAGGCGCACCACAATGCACCCCTCACAACCCATTTACACCCCTTCATATCCCCTCATACCTTTTGGTCCTTGCTAATCAACTGATCCATCTCATCCACCAGCAGCACACATACGCCCGCTCCCTCTCCCCTTTTCTGCCCCTCCCCATCCCTCCGCCCTCCTCCCCCCCTCTCCCTCCTCCTCTCCCCCCCCCTGCCTCTGCCCATTACTGCCCCGGAGGAGGGAGAGGAGGCGAATCGGAGGTTGAGGGAGTGGAGGGCTTTCTTCCAGGCGATCCTTTGGCCAGTTAGTGCCTCCCAGAGGACCTAATAATTTGAGTGTGAGTAAGCGAGGGGCATGCAAGGACGGGGGATGGGATGGGAGGAGACGTGGAGGTTGAGGGAAGGGAGCGGAGGGATTTCATCCAGCGACCCTCTGGCCGAGGACTTCCCAGAAGACCTGGTGAACGGGAGGGGAGACGGCGGACTGCAGGGCTTTCTTCCAGGGGACCTGTTGCAGTGTGGGAGGGGAGAATGAGGACGAGGAGAGTAAGGGGAGCGGGAGGGCAAAGGCAAAGCGAGCGGTGGCTGGAAGGACTGCAGGGCTTTCTTCCGGGATACTCTCTGGCCGGTTACATGTGGTTATTGGAGTTTAGAGACGTCTAAGAAAGCTCGATGATTGTCACGCTAGGGGAAAAGGACAGGGAGGTAAGTCTTTTTAGGCGCCTCAAAACAAGACTCCTGAGGACATGTGGAAGCAGTTGTACAACAGAAAGGGAGGTTAGTCTATTTCCCTTGCACACAGGGAAGGGAAAGGGAGGTAAGGAGCTGCTGCTAAATGAATCGACATGGAGGAACAAATACAGGCTTACTGGAGGAGAAGGACAGGGTTGTGGGCAGGCGGAGGTGTTGATGTCTCACTGAGAAGAAGAACCAGTGTGGGCATGCGGTGTGGGCAGGCAGTATGGGCAGGCGGTGTGGGCAGGCGGAGCGCGTTTATTTGAACAAACTGAAAGGCGGAAGCAGCCGCTCCCGGCTCTTCAGCCTAGCGGTGCCTCAAGAGATGGGGAGCCTCTAAGAGGCAGGCGGTGTCCAGGCAGACACAAAGAGGCACTACAGAGAAGAAAGCAGTGGGTGGGGCAGGCGGAGCGCGTTGATGTGAACAAACTGGAACGCAGGGAGTAACCAACTCTGCTCTTCCTCCTCGCCTGTCGCATCACCTCCATCACCACTGCTGTCTTGCCCGTGCCCGGCACTCCAGATATATATAAACAACGTGAATGCGCATGCTGCTCTCCCCCTTCCTGCTGTGCAGTCCCCTCCCGTTGCCCCTTCTCTTCCTCTGGCTGCTGCTCCCCTTTCTCCACTGTTTGATTCCCCTTTCCTCGCCCTCGTCCACGCCCTTCCCTCTCCCTCTCCCGCTCCTACTCCCACTCCCTTCCCTCTCCCACACGCCTTCCTTCCAGAGCGTTTCCCCCTTCCGCCCCCTCAGCTTCCCCTTTGCCTTCTCCTGTCACTCCTCCTGTTTCCCCAAATCCACCTCCCCCAGAACCACCTCCCCAGAACCACCTTCCCCAGATCTACCTCCCCCAACGACTCTCTCCACGAACCCCTGCACTCCCCCTGCTCCTTCTCGCGCACGGCAGGCACGGCGCACTCGGGACAGCTGCAGCGCTCTCTTGGCCCTCCGCACCACAGCCATTCCTCCCCTGTCCTGCTGTAGTGCCTCTCCCCCGCCCCTCCTCCCGTCCTCCTCTCTCTCCTCCTCCTCCACATGCCCCTCCCCGTCCTCCAACCCCATGCATCCTCTCGTCGGATCTCCTCTCTCCCCCGCAGGCTCTCCCATGTTCCCTCCTCCTCCTCCCCTCCTCTCTTCGCCGTGGAACACTGCGAACAGCCCGTGATCACCGTCACTGTGTGAAGCCGCAGAACCGTTGCTCCTGCCCAGCCTTCGCCTCTTCCTCCGCCTGTCGCCCTGTGCGGGGAGAGCAATGCGGTCCAAAAACTACGCGTGAAAGAGAAAGCATGTGAGAACAGAGGGCCTCTGCACTATGGAATATTGCAAACAGGCCCAAGGTCGCCCCCACCACCCTGTGAAGGACAGAGGGCCTCTGCACTATGGAACACTGCAAGCAGCCCGAGGTCGCCCCACCACCCTGTGAAGGCGCCAAGCAGCCACTCTAATCCAGCCTTCGCCTCCTCCTCTGTTTACCAACCTCTGTGTGTGGACCGCTGGCGGATTCAATTGTGAGAGGAAGTGGAAGGAGCGTGCGAAGAGGTGGGCGTGAACACACTCTTTGGGCGACGCAGAAGGGGAACTGTTGCTGCTGTTGCTTCTTCTTCCCAAGTGCTCCGTAGGCACGAAAGAAGGGGGGGATGACAAAGGGCGCAAGGAGGGCTGATTCAATGGAGGGCCATAGAGGGCTCATACCAATGGAGGGCTCATACAATGGAGGGCTGATACAATGGAGGGCTGGTACAATGGGAGGGCTGGTACAATGGAGGGCTGGCACAATGGAGGGCTGGCACAATGGAGGGGCTGGTACAATGGAGGGCTGTTACAATGGAGGGCTCATACAATGGAGGGCTCATACAATGGAGGGCTGGTACAATGGAGGGCTGGTACAATGGAGGCTGGTACAATGGAGGGCTGGTACAATGGAGGCTGTCTGTACAAGGAGGGCTGGTACATGAGGGGCTGTTACAATGAGGCTGTACAATGGAGGGCTGGTACACATGGAGGCTGGTACAATGGAGGTTCAGCAATCGTGCAAACAATGCTGTTGGGGCGCACAAGTCAGAGGAACACACCTTATGTCTGTTGACCTTCTCAATCTCTTCTCGAGTCCCTCCCCACTCCTCCTCTTCCTCCTCTTCTCCTCGTCCTCCGCATCCTCCGCCTCTTCATCTAGACTAAGCTCACCATCATCATCATCACTAAAATCACCCAGCCCTTCGCTACTGTCACTCCCACTAGACTCACTCTCGTCACTCCCCTGCTCTCCCCATCCTCCTCCCCCCTTTCTCTACGAGTGCCCTCATCACCTCCTCATCACTCGCTCTAACGCCTCTTCCCCTTCCGTCCTTCCCTCCGCCTTCCCCTTCACTTTCCTCCCCCTTTCCCCCCTCTGGCTCTGCTCCACTCTCGCTCCTCCAAACCCTTGGGCAGCCGTTTGAAGCACTGGTTGCGGGGAGCCATACGCCATACGGCACAGGAACACATCGTCTCCCTTGTGCGCTGCTGCTGAGAAGAGAGGCTCTGGTAAAACCATGCACGTGCGCAGTATTGAGGCCATCTGAGGCACACAAGGGCGGGGGGAGGGGGGGGTGGGGCAGGGGAACTAGTAGTGAGTAGTCATACGCCATAACGGCACAGGAACACATCGTCCCCCTCGTGCGTGCTGCTGAGAAGACACCGCTCTAACAACACCTTTGCAGGTGCGCAGAATCGAGGCCATCTGGGTAGTGGGAGGGGGGAGAAAGAGCAGGGGAACTAGTAGTGACCAAGTCATATGCCATGAGGCACAGGAACACATCGTCCCCTTTGAGCGCTGCTGCCTGGTAAACCCTTGGTTTTTGTGAATTCTCAGAACCAGCTCCCCTCATGCGCTGCTGCCGTAAACAGAGGTCTGGTCTGGTAAAACCTTGCATGTGCCCAGTATTGAGGCCATATGGGGGTGAAAGGGAGGGAGGATGGGAGGGGAGGGGAGGATGACAATAGGGTTGATTGAATGAAGGTCATACGCCATGCGTCACAGGAACGTATTGCCCTCTCGAAGCGCTGCAGCTGAGACGAGCACCACAGGTGCGCAGTACGAGGCCATCTGGGGCACACAGAGGGGGGGTGGGGGGAGTAGTAGTGAAGAAGCATACGCCATGCGGCACAGGAACGCATCGCCCCCTCGAGCACTGCTGCTGCTGAGAAGAAGAGGCTCCAGGAGTATTTTAAGAAGAGAGGCTCCGAGCGCTGCTGCTGAAGAAGAGATGCTCTGGGAGTACTCTGCAGGAGCGCAGGAGTGGAGGCCATCTGGGGTTGGAATCTGGAACGGGAGAGAGAGGAGGGAATGACTTTTGCGGCACAGGAACATGTCGTCCCCTCGAGCGCTGCTGCTGAGAAGAGAGGCTCCGAGAGTACTTAGCAGGTGCGCGGTACTGTTTGAGATGTCTCAAAAACAGATCTTCTATCAGGAGTGCAGTATTGAGGCCATCTGGTCTGGGGTTGACAGGGAAAGGGAGGAAGCAGGGGGGATGGCTCGGCACAAGTTGCGAGAGTCATAGGCCATGTGGCACCAGGAACGCATCGTTTCCTAGGCCATACTGGCACCGCACTCTGCTGCACCGCACTCTGCTGCACCGCACTCTGCTGCACCTCAGAAGAGGAACTTTCGAGTCCACCTCAAAATTAGAACCTCACTCGGCACCACTTCACTCGGCACCACTTCACTCGGCACCACTTCACTCGGCACCACCTCACTCAGCACCTCCTCACTCAGCACCACCCCAATCTTTCCCCTCACACTTCTCGCACACTGCCCCCCTCCCTCCACCTCTATTTCCTGCACTACGTCTCCAAGAAAACTCCCTTCTCCTGTGGTGCGCCTGCCGTCCCTCCACCGTCTCCTCTGGCAAAACGAACCATCTCACTCGGCACCACCAGCAGCTACTACTCCCCTTCCCCTCCCCTCCTCTTCCTCCTCCTTCTCTCCTTCCTTCCCCAACTCCTTCCTGCTCCGTCGGCCTCCTCACTTCCGCGTTCCGCTGTTTCTTCCAGCCTCCAGCCATGCGCCATATCCGCTCGATCCGACCAATCGCAAGCTTCCCATCAAACACTCGCTCCCGGCCGTCCCGCCGCCTCTTCTGCTCCTTCCCAGCGTCCCCCGCCTCCCCGCCTTCCCCGCCTCCCCACCTCTCCCGCTTTCCCCTCTCCTCCGCCATCCCAAGTTTGCGTCCCCTTTTCCGCTCCCCCCGTCCCGCTCCCTCCAGCACAACCTGCGCAAAACCAATCCCCTTCCGGATTTCCGCGAGCGGCGGGTCGAGCAACCGAGGTGGAAACCACCAAGGCAGCCATCACACTCCACCATCACATTCGCTGAGAGCGATTTTCGAGAAGTACGGGGCTTGATGCCATCGCCCCACCATCATCCTCCCTGCCTCCCCTCCCTTCCCGTCCTCCGCATTCTCACCTCTCCTTCCTCCTCCTCCTCTCCCCATCCCCGACTTCCCCGCAAATTCCGCACTCCTCGTCGCTCGCAAGACTCGCCTGAATCCGAGCCGTCGGCGGCGTCGGATGCTCCGTTGGCAGTCGCCGCCGTCGATCTTGACGTAACGGAATCGCCGACGGAGAATCCTCGTCGTCTAGAGAGACGCTATCGACGTAGTGTTTTGAGCGGAGCACGGGCACGAGAACGAGGCGCCATTAAACGGGTAGGACGAATTAAAATGTTATTTTGAAGAAGTATAAGAATTTCGCTTTATACAGAGATCACGAAATGACGCCGTGCGGCGAAGGATTTTGAATCTGACGAATCTAACACAACTTCTAAACGGCCAGGTTGTAAGAAGATCAATGTAAAAAGGTGAAACTAAGTCGATGCAATAGCAGCTGGCAGTGCAATCAACGGCAATTGGAAGTCCCGGCCACTTTAGTCTGACAGAATTTCCACGGATCGCGGAGTCCCAAGTATTCAAATGGTTGGATGTCAGACAGGCCAGGGAGGCCCAATTTTTCCATTGGCTTGGCACCGACCATGGACGGATGCGATATTGTAGTGCGGGAAGACATGATATCCTTGTTACATTTTGGAACGTGCGTGTAATCAAGAAAATATCCGCATTTCATGCACTTCTTTTATGAATTAATCAGAGTAACAACAGGTAATGCAATAAAGCATTCGTGATTCAAGCGTGTCAATACAGATGAGGGCCTAGGCATTTATAGGCACGAACAGAGCTAGCCGAGAACCACGCGAACAGGTTGGGGCTGTCACGATATAGGCTAGGTAGCTAGGAAGGTAGGCGGCAGGGCCTCAGATTCGTTTGGGCACACTGATCGCTCAGGTCCCCCTCGTAGCTCCCTGTTTTTTCAGCCTTGCAAAAAAAAAAAACGTAATCAATCATCGTGTTGTATAAATTTGCACTGAATAAACATGGTCAATACAGAAAAGACGCTGTTTAAAACCCGACCGCAAAAATAGCAGAGGGGGTCCCTCTCTTGATTGTTGAGTGGTGAAAAAAAATCCCATAACTGGCAAAAAAACGAAACGTCCCAGTGCCCCAAATTTGTAACTGTCCAAAACAAAGGGGATTGCACCAATCCTATTGGTTGCGCGAGAGTATTAGCGAATGTGGCTCGAGGCGAAAAAAATTGATAGCCTGGCGCGTTGTCAGCCCCCTGCACTTTTGTCACACGCCAGTGTGTTGAGACTAGAAGAATGAATAGAAGAAGGAGAAAAGAGATATAGCGTTCGGTTGTACCCACTATGAACATACCATACTACAGCATATAATTTCACATAACAATATACGTATAAGTTGACACACCCCCTAGGCTAGATAAATAGAAAGGATACACAATCAAGGCTAGCAAGTGAGTCACAAACACTAGACCTAACCGCAAGCAGTGCCGCTGATGATCTAGGCGGAAGCGCCTTAGTAAAGATATCAGCTGTGTTGGCACCAGAGTCCAAGTGTACTACGCGGCTGGCGACGCTGCTGAAGCTCGCACAGGAGAAGTACCGCAACTGGAGTGCTTCGCTCTGCCAAGTCGAGGCCCTGCACAGAAGATCATGGCCTTGTAGCGTATAGAACGGGCAGAGACTAGGCCGCTCACTAAGTCGGCAAGCAAGAAGGCCATCAGCGGAGCTCCTGTGCCGCCATGGCACCGCATAGATCTCAGCCTCACAGCTAGACTGAGCAACAGAGAGGACGAGTGGATCTCCACGAATGGCACCAGAACCAAGGCTGAAGCAGTAGCCTGCGAGGACCGAGCTCTCAGCATCGTCTGCCCAAGAACGTCTGTGTGCCCAGTAAGGACCACTGGCCTGCGTCCTCCCAGCACTAGCCCCATGCCCGATGTACTTGCAAGATAACGCAAAAGCCTCTTAGCGGCGACCAGTGCGTGGTCGGTGTCTGCTTGTGGCCACAAAGCGCCAGGATGCTGAGAGGGATGCGAGATCTGGCGAGTGCAAGTCATCAGGTACATGAGGCAACCCACCAGCTCTGCGTAAGGACCATTGGGCTCTGCTGACTCCTTGGGAATTGGAGCTGAGAGCATGTGGTCTACGGCAGAGGTGTGGGCTGTGCGGAGGAGAACTGAAGACCGAACCTTTGAAGGACCTGGCGCACCAAGTGTGACTGTATAAGAGTGATGGTGCGCGTGCTTTGTCCCTGGAGATCTCAAGCCAAGGTAGCGGCGCAGCACTCCCAGGTCAGTGCAGGTGTGTCGCCTCAGCAGCTCAGCCTTGACAGAGGCTAGCGCTCTCTGTCAGCTATAGCAAAGACCAGGTCATCTACGTAGATTAGGATGTAGAACGGAGTCTGGCCAGCACGAACGAAGAGCGAAGGTCAGCAGAGGACGGAAAGAACTACAGGTCAGCTAGCGTGCACGTAGTGTGTCATGCCACTCACGGGGCGCCTGTCGCAAGCCGTAGATGGGGCGGCGGAGGGAAAGTACCGGTGAAGCTCTGAGGGCGGCGCAGGTAGACCAGCTCGTGTAGGCTGCCCTGAAGGAAAGCAGTGCAGAAGTCGAGGGAGTGAAGCTCGTAGTCACGCTGTGCTGCTACGTGTAGCAGCGCTCGAAGAGTAGTCATCTTCGGGGTCGGGCGATGGTCTGAAAGAAGTCCACCCCCTCTCGCTGAGTGAAACCTCTAGCCACGTAGCGCGCCTTGAATGCAGGCGGCTCTCCAGGGGGGCGCTTCACCTTGAAGAGCCACCGGCCATCGACTATGCTCACTCCAAGTGGGGGAACAGCGTCGAC